CTATAGTATAAATCTGCTTTGAGACAAAAGTTACATGTTACAGACTCTGTGGAAGGTGTACCCGTAGTTTACAAATAATTTCCTAAATCAAAACTGCTTTGAGGTGAAGACAAGTTTCCTATATTGATTGATAGGTTAAAATGTCAGTTTACAGACTGTGAGGTAATGGGAAAATTTCAACTTGATCAGTGTTAAGTTAGTAAAAGATTACTACGGATATGGCTTATTATGTAGCTATTAATAGCAGATGATTTTCTTTTGGTCTCATGCTAACACACCATGTTCTTGAGTAGGTGACATGTCTTGGAAGTATAGAAAAAATCTTAGCATCAGTGAAATTTTAAAAATTTATTATAGTGGTGCCTGAGACTATTTCCAGAATTGGCAATAATTTCTATAAAACTTCTCATTTTAAAGCTTAAAAACTTTTTGTGGGTTTAATCTTGGCTGAGGTATAGGAAAGAATGTAATAAGTTGCTGATTAAAAACATACTGATTTCAGATTATAGCATTTGAAAGGATTGGCAAACTTTTTTTTAAAAGCAGATATTTAAGGCTTTGCAGGCAGAGGGTCTCTGTCACACTTTTTTGTTTGTTGTTTGTTTGTTTGTTTACAACCCTTTTAAAAATTTGAAGACCTTTGTCAGATCATGGTTCTACAAAAACAGGCTGGCTGGATTCTGCTCTTTGACTGTAGCTTGTCCACCCCGCTCTAAAGGATAGGCTCTAGTAATAGGTTTTGATTGCCTTGGAAAAGGTTTGCTGAGTATTGAAATCTTACATTCAAGAAATAACTTTTATTTAGACTAAGAATTCTCTCAACTAATTGACATATATTCTATTGTTTGTCCGTAGATTTTGTGTTCGGTTTTAAAAATTAGAGTTTCCCCTTCCCCCACTAAAAACAAGATTCAGTACTGTTTATATCCTTTAATCAGAGCTGTTTGAAACTTGGCGGTTTATTGATATGGTCTCATAAATTTGATATTTCATTACAGTGACACCTGTCCATTTGCCAGGACATACTTAAATATTTGCTTTGGTAGAAATACCATCTGGTGCCTCATCTTTGTTTGCTTTAGGTTCTGTGACTAAATTTAAAAGGAGCTCTGTAATAATTATTTTGCTTTCTTTGGGACATGACTAATAGATAGATATGAAATAGATCTGTGTTGAATCTTGGTGTAGTAGTCTTTTCTTTTAAAAGTTTCTGAATTTTTTGGAGTTTGTGAAAGTGTTATCTTGAGATACGAACTACAACAGAACTAGTTTTTATTTTTTTATGTGTTGGTGGTTGAATTTGTATATATATTTTATTGATTTCAGAGAGGGGAAGGGAGAGGGAGAGAGAGAGATAGAAACATCAATGATGAGAGAGTCATTGATTGGCTGCCTCCTGCACACCCCAAACTGGGGATAGAGCCTAAAACCCGGCCATGTGTCCTGACCAGGAATCGAATTCTAACCTGGTTCATAGGTCCACGCTCAACCGATGAGCCATGCTGGCCGGGCAGGGGTTGAATTTTTTAACTTAATTTTTTAATTATTTTAGGTTTAATAGTTACAAAGATAGTCTAGCAAGTTGGCATGAACCCTTTACCCAGCTTCTACTCTCATAACCAGAGTATGATCTTTTTTTTTTAATCCTCACCTGAGGATATGTTTTTATTGATTTTTAGAGAGAGAAACATCAGTTGGTTGCCTCCTGTATGTACCCTGACCAGGGATGGAACACCCAACTTTTTGGTATATGGGATGATGCACCAACCAAGTGAGCCATCCAGCCAGGGCCAGAGTACAATTTTAAAAGATGCCATGGTGCAGTACTGTTATATAAAGTACAAAATTCATTTGGTTCACAGTTTTTCATCTATTGTCCTTTTTGTAATCCAGGTTTCAATCTTGAATGTCATATTGCATTTAGTTTTTGTCTGCTTCAATGACAATTCTTTAGTCTTCTCTTTTATGACTAACAATCTAAACATGTAAAAGTTTTGGAAGCAAAGATAGAATATACCTGTGAATACTATTTAGCTTTTAAAGGATCGCTGTTATTTTAGCAGAATGACTGAGTAGGACCACTGTTGCTGTCATTTTCACTTATTTATGGATTACTTTGTCTGAATCTCAGATTACTTTGTCTCTGTCTCATCTATGGATTACTCTGTGTCAATCTCAGAATACTTTGTCTCTGAATAGAACAGTATGCTGTGTTTTTTGTAGTCCCTTCATAATCAAGAAATTTAAAATTAATATATTTAAAATAACAATTATAAGCCACTATATATTATCATCAATATTTTCTATTTAAAATACTATTTTCCTAAATAAAACATTAGTGAGAAAGAGTGACATTATCTTATGCTTTTTGCCTATTATTTTAATGTCTAGCTTAGAAAAACTAATGGGTTCTCTTATCTGCTGTTGGTGTATTTTATTTTGGTTGACATACATGAAGAAAATCTAGCTTCATATAGATATGTGATTGGAAAAAAGAAGATTATTTTAATAGTCCTTTTAAATAATTTTGGAAATTCTTTGATATTGTACCAGCTTGGAATTGGCAACTATGTCGATGTGCTTTCTGTACTGTTATATTAGAATCAAGTGGTCTGGCCCAGCTGGCATGGCTCAGTGGTGGAGCATCGACCCATGAATCAGGAGATCGAGGTTTGATTCCTGGTCAGGGCACATGCCTGGGTTGCAGGTTTGATCCCCAATAGGGGGTGTGCAGGAGGCAGCCGATCAATTTTGACTCATCGTTGATGTTTCTATGCCTCCCTCTCTCTGAAATCAATAAAAACATGGTGTGTGTGTTTTTTTAAATCATTTGGTTGTCTTGGACTTTGATTGGATCTCTTACCCTGCATAACTTTGAAATATGCATGCATTGTTCATTTGAAAAAGAGTGGTTTCCTGAGTGATACAGATCTTCTAAATGTTGACACTTCACTATGCAGCATCAAGTCACATTCCTTAATATTGCCACTGTCTCATCAGAGAAAGTAGATGGTGGGAGGTTGATTTTTGTCATTGGCAACAAATACCACAGTTGTAAACGATGGGCTCACTTACTCAGTTTTGAGGAAATTTTTCTCAGATTCCCAGGTCTGAATAATCACAGTTTGTCAGTTTTTCTTTCAAGTAAACATGATATTCTGTGAGAGAAACTTAGATCAGATCACAGTTGCATCAAATCTTTTCCTTGAGACAACCATTGCACTTAGGTATGCAGCAGAAACACATTATACCTACCCAAGGACTAATATATAATAAAATTAATTTTTATACAATGACTATTAGTACAGTTGGTGCCACTGCCTTGATTCGTGCCAAGGCACCAGCAGTTTTAATTACCATTGGTTTTGTGCCATGAGTACAAATGTCAACAAAGTGAAAAAGGCCAATAGTGTATTATTCTAAAAATAGGTTTGACCTCCTGGACCCCCTGAAAGAGTTTCAGGTTCCCCAGGATTACATGGGCCACACTTTGAGAACCTCTGATCTGTGTGCCTAGAGTTTAGGTACTTAAAATATTTTCTTCTAAATTAAAAACAAACCCATTATTGGAGCTCAGAGAAGTTAAGTAGTCTGCCATAGTGTCACTCAACAAATGGCAGAGCTGGATTTGAAGCTCCAGAGCTTGGTTTGCCCCCCACTTCTTTCCACAGCACCCTTTAGCTACCTACCAATTAATAATTGAGAAGTCTTCTCAAGGTAGTAGAATATGCTCATTCTGGATAGGAAGAATCATTTGAGAATGCTATATATATATGTTTTTTCTTATTCTTGTTGTATCTTGCCTTTTTTTCCTCTAGGACCTTGCTGAATTAATTGTAGGTAATATCTTTAAATAATGATAGATTTGTTTCTTGCCATGTAGTCTTTACATTTCATTTTCTTGCCTTAGCGTGCTGGGGCCTCACTGGGACGTCAGTGTAAAATCTCCCTCTCCTCTCTCTCTTAATGTCTCTTCTGTGTTTTCCATCACTTTGCTCTCTGCTGTCTTCTGGATAACTTCTTTTTACCTATATTTCAGCTTTCTTATTTACTCTTCGTTTCTGTCTGAGCTACTGTTACAGCTGAGTTCTTAATTTTAGTGATTTTATTTTTCAGTTCTGTAAGTTTCTGTATTTTTTTCAGTCTTGCCGTCCCTTAAAATTTCCTGTTCCTTGCTTATCTTTTCAGGCTTTTCTTATATATATCTTTAAACAGAGTAAGCATAATTTTACAGTGTGGGTCCAATAATTCTAGTATCTTAAGTCTTTGGGGATATCAGTCCAATTAGGAAAATAGAAACCATTTAGATGTTTCAGGCAGAGAAGGATTTAGGGAAGTATTTGATTGCAGAAGTGCCAGAAGACACCCCCATTCCCCTCCCAGTCAATGCTCCAAGTTATTCTTGGGAGAAAAAGTAGCAGCTGTTTTTACTGCTACTGTTTGCTTCTCAGAAGAAGCCATTGTTTTAGACTAAGCATGAAGCTTTATGCTCTCAGCACTTGCCAGGCGTAGCAGGAAACTTTCTGTAAAGTACCATTTTAATCAAATGCTTCTTTGTGATTTCACAGTGCTAATGTGACCTACCTTTGGCAGCGATAATAAATAGTTCCTGCCTTTCAAATCAGGTAGCTACACACTCATGACTTGCTCCTTTATAGAAAAAATACAGAGTTCAAAATGTTTAAAGAATTTTTTGAAGTAACTTTTTTAAAAGTACCATTTTTATTGTTAGCCTGGTCTCTTTATCAGTTGATGGACTTTATTAAACTATTAAATACTTCTTCTTTTATCTGCCTAATCATAGCCTCCCCCTTCTCCCCAAAGCCACACTGGAGATACAGGTTTAATATTATCATTTGGGGGAGCCAGATTAGCATTAATAGTTCTTTTTATTCTACGTATCATTTCTGAGCTTAAATTTTAAAAGAAACTACCCCTAAAATGTTTTATATGCTTTTAAATATTTTAAATCCAAAGTAAGGTCAGTGTTGATTTTTTTGCTTTTCAGTGATGTCTTGGCATTGCCCATTTTCAAGCAGGAAGATTCCAGCCTTCCATTGGATGATGAAACTAAAAACCCGCCTTTTCAGTATGTGATGTGCGCCGCAACATCTCCAGCAGTAAAACTGCATGATGAAACGCTCACTTACCTGAACCAAGGTTAGTATGGATATGTCATACTTTGATAGAATTTACAAGAATCCTGAATGAATGTTTTAGGCATTACAGCCTAGATTACTGGTGGTAATTTTGAGTTGGATTTTTTTCCTTAAGTTTTATCACTTTAGTTCACAAAAATTGTAGGAATTTTACTGTGAGTCAACAAAGCTATAGTTTATGGAAACTGATTTGCATAAAGAGCGTCTCTGGAACAAGACTTATTACAGGGTTTTCCAGATAAAATCCAAAGGAGGAGCAAGTAGAAAAGGATGTCAGTTATTTTTAGTAACAGTGGTTTCAGTGTGGAACTTGAGAATGAATCAGAAGTCCAGCTAGCAAGGAACCTGGGTCTCAGGCATGAAGCAGGTTTGTGCTAAAAATAGACATAAGCTGCACCAAGATGGAGTTGGTGACTAAAATAAATCATGTCAAATTTTGTTTACCCATATCTTATTATACTTTACGAGAATATTATATTTTCGTGGTAAATAAGTGAGAGCTGGCAGAACTTACCATTGGGAAGTATATGAGATTGTATTTTCAGGTCCTCTTAGCAGTTTGGGCACAGGCCAATGTGACTTACCAGTGTAAACAAAAATAGTTTGTTATACAGGAATTAATTTGTTGGGTACACATACTGAAAGTGCATTATTTTTTTAATGCAAATATTTTAATATAAAAATAGTACATACTCATTGTAGAAAAATTGGGAAATATGTCAAGGGATAAAGCTGAAAATTGGATTGCAGTTGCATCCCACCAAGATAACTAACATCTAGCTATATTTTCTTGTGTTTATATCTTACTTCATTTAAAAAATGGAATTAACATCTATTCACTTACAAGTATATTGTGATTATCTGTCATTAAATAGAATCTTTGATTCCTTGAACTGTTGGAAAGAGCTACAGATTTTAGACTATTGTGATAAACATTCAGAAATATGAAAGAATAGCTTATTTTCAACTTCTCATTTCATATATAGGTTTATAGAGTCTATGAGGTTTTGAGACTTAAGTTTCATATTTGAAAGCACCTTAAGAGTTTATATGGTAATCTGTTTTAGACATAAAGCTATCAGAAGAAACAATGTAGGGGCAAGAATATTCACTGTAGCTTTATTTCTAAAGACCAAAAAAGGAAATAACCTGAATTTTTCTTACTTGGGGAATGGTTCAGTAAGTTCTGTTACATACATACCTTGGGATTAATGAGTACACACACACACACCCTCTCTGTTTTAAAAATTGTGTATCTGTTCATTGGCCTGGGGAAATTAATCGATAATTTATCACTATTATTAATAAGCCAGATAAAGATGGTTCATATTGACAAAAGTTGTAATACACCATCTATAGTGATGATTTATTAGACTGGCATTTACTGAGTGCTTACTCTGTATGAAGCATTGTACTAAATACTTTATATGTGTTATCTTCCACAATAAGCCCAGGAAAAGTTTTATTAATCTATTTTACAGATTTAAAAACTGAAGCTTAGAGCAGTTGATGAACTTGCTCAATATCAATTTAGCCAACCTTAGATTANAAAGTTTTATTAATCTATTTTACAGATTTAAAAACTGAAGCTTAGAGCAGTTGATGAACTTGCTCAATATCAGTTTAGCCAACCTTAGATTATTTTTTTGGTTAATCCTCACCTGAAGATATTTTTTCCATTGATTTTTAGAGAGAGGAAAGGAAGGAGGCTGGGGAGAGACACATACACACACACACGCACACACACACACAGGTGAGAGAGACACGTCTATTGGTTTCCTCCCACATGCACCCCGAGGTGGGCTGGGAATCGAACCCGCAACCCTTTGGTGCATGGGCCAGTGATCTAACCGCTGAGCACACTGGCCAAGGCCAATTTAGTGTTTTAAATACATGATTTATATACATGGTTCAAAATTGAGAAGGTATGAAAGGGTATAAAATAAAAAGTCTTCTTTCCCTGGATCTCAGTTATCTAGTTTGCTCATCTCAGGTAGCCACTAAATTAGAACCATTTTTTCCTAATGTTTTATGACAGTCTTTGTATAACAAAAATATTGTATAGTTACTATTTTATTGAATTCATTCCACTAAACTTACTTATTCATGTAATGAGTGAATTATATGCTTAAATGTGCTTCTGGTGGATGTAATGGTCTTGTCACTAAAGGATGAAATTTAAAAGAGAATTTCCATCTCTAAGATGCTGCCTGGTAGAAGCTATCATACATAATTGCCAGTGAATGCCCAGGATATGTGCACCTCTGCTACATACTGGATGTCCTTAGGCACATTATTTAGATACCCTTTTTGTTCCTTTTCATTGTTTCAACTAGTTATAGTGAGTAGTGAATATTAGCAATCTCTAGAGCTGGGCTGCCTATGTTTACATCCCATTCCACCACTTGCTAGTCTAGGCAAGTTTGTTCATTTAAAATCCCCATATAAGGTAGTTGAGAATTAAATTGAGTAATATATGTAAAGCACTTAGAACCTTGTCAGCACAGCGTGAGCTTTTGCTGCTGTTACTGTTAATAACTATGTAGCTGTAATGATTCCTGATCATATTGGAAGACCAAGTATTTAGACATTGGTTGATGTATTAGTTTCCTGTTGCAGCCAGATGAGCAGTTTTTGTAAATGGTTGGAATGCAACCATGGGGCTAGATACCTGTGTAATGACTCAGTAAGTTTGCCAGGTTTGTTGGAAAACATGATTGTAATCTTTTAAGTAAATCTGTAACAGTCAGAGTTTTGAACTATAGAAATAACATGTTTACACTGCTTAGCAACTGGTAGGCAGAATAATGTTTCCCCAAAGATGTCTGAGTCCTAATCCCCAGAACCTGTGATTATATGGCAAAAAGGGACTTTGTAGATGCAATTAAGTTAAGGATGCTGAGATGGAGAGATTATTTTGGATTTTGAAGGTGAGTCAGTGAAATCACAAGGGTCCTTAAAAGTGAAAGAAGTAGGCAGGAGAGTCAGGAGTCAGAGATTTGAAGATGCTTTGTGCAGCTGGCTTTAAAGATGAAAGAAGGGGCCATGAGCCAAGGGTTGTAGGCTGCATAAAGTAGTAGGCAGAGGCAAGGAAATAATTTCCCTTGAGTCTCAAGGAACACAGATGCCAATGTACGTACAGTCGGCCATCCCAAATCAGGCCATTTTTCTCTTTGGAAGAGTGTTTATCATATCCTACAGTATTTATTCAGCTTCTGAGAAAAGATGGTTAATTTTTACTATTTTACTCAGAGCTTTCTAAGTATTAAGTTATTCCCAGGAGATGGTCCTGAACTCTTTATGTTGGAAATAGTATTGACTCACTGGATATTTCTAGCTTCTCCAACTTCATGCAATGGGACCACCTAGAGGGCTTGTCAAAATATGTCACAGGGCCCCATAGTTTCTTATTCAGTAGGTCTGAACTGGGACTGGAGAATTTGCATTTCTGACAAGTTTCCATGTGATGCTGATGCTGATGCTGCTAGTCAGGAACCATGCTGAATTTTCTATTTTGAATATTCAGGCAAATATAAGAGCTTCCCTTCACCACCAGCTTTTATAGACGGATGTCCTCAGAGGAGGATTGGCACAGAGCAGGGGCTGTGCACCATTCTTTCGCCATAGCTTGGTCACTCCTAGTAGCCTTCCCTTAAAACTCATTGCTCACCTTCTGCTGTTTGGGCAGCTGTTACTGAAGAATATTTGCCACTGTGTAACACCATAAAGAAGAAAAGTAAAATTTTCTGCCGCCTTAACTTCATCAGTCAGGTAGAAATTGGAACTAGTTTTCCAAGTTGTATTGATGCCAGGTTTTGTACTATTTTCAACAATAGAAGTACAGAGTTTAAAAACTTTGTGTTTTCCTGGTTATGCCTAAGCAGCTGTCCTCTGCTCTTGGGTAACAAGAAGAGTTAAGTCTGACTTTGTGAAGTAAAAAACTGTAGTCCCAACATGGAACCACTAGAGGGTGGAGTAAACACAACTGGCCCTCCCTTTGAGCTGGGATTTAGCTGGAATAGGCTGCTCCTTGGTTTATAGCTGCAGCCAAGTCCTTGATGCTTTCACACCTCATAATATGAATGAGACTTTTGATCTTAACCCCTGGGTTTATTTCATATTGGTTCATTGCTGCTATTGGGTCAGAAATACCTGTTCATTTGGAGGCCAGCTTCTACTTGGAGAATCCTCTAATAATTAACTACTTTGCAGACAGGTTTTAGGCCCTAGGAAATACATGTCTGTTGGATTAAAAATACTATTAAGTAATAGAAGCTTCAAAAAAGAGAATACGGTCATGCGTCACTTAACGACTGTTATGTTCTGAGAAATGCATCATTAGGTGATTTCATCATCATGGGAATACCATAGAGTGCACTTCTGTAAGTCTAGATGATGTAGCCTACTACACCCCTAGGCTGTATGGTATAGCCTATTGCTCCTAGGCTACAAACCTGCACAGCATGTTACTGTGATGAATAGTGTGGGCAATTATAGTACAATAGTAAGTATATTTGTATCTAAATGTAGAAAATTTACAGTAAAAATATGGTAGAAAAGATGAATGGTGCACCTGTACAGGGCACTTACCATGACTGGAGCTTGCAAGGACTGGAAGAGTTGCTGGGTGAGGCAGTGAGTGAGTGGAAAGTAAAAGTGAAGGCCTGGGGCATTACTATAACACATTGTGCTAGGACTTTACATGGCTCTGATGTCACTAGGTGGTAAGAATTTTTCAGTTCCAATATACTTACTTACGCAGTTTGTTGCTGACTGAATTGTCATTTTGAGGCACATGACTGTCATTTTTTGTTAGTTTCATTTTACATGGTAGTAGATTACCTTGAGGTTAGCTTTGGTTCTTGTTCTAAAGTTCTATATTAGGACCTTAAAAATAAATGCTTTGAACTTAGTGTCATTGTTCATAATAGCCAAAAAGTGGAAACAACCCGTATGTTCATTAACTGATGAGTGAGTGAACAAACAAAATGTATGTTTATACAATGAATAATATTTGGCAGTAAAAAGGAATGAAGTACTAATATGTGCTACAATACATTAACCTTGAAAACATTGTTTAGTAAAAGAAGCCAGTCACAAAAGGCCATGTATTGTATAATTTCATTTATGTCATGTGCCCAAAGTGGACAAATCCCTAGGGAGAGAAAGTAGATTCATTAGTAGTTGCAGGGGGCTCAGGGGATGGGAGGGGTGAGTAGTGACTGCTAACAGGTTCGAGTTCTTTTGGGGGTGATGAAAATGTTCTAAAGTTGGTAGTGGTGATGGCTGCACAACTCTGAATATACTAAAAATGAACTGTATACTTTAAAAGGGTGAATTTTATGGCATGTAAATTATTTTCCAAAACTGTTATAAAATAAGAAGTTGGTCTCTGGTAATGGATGTTATGTATAATTTAGATTTAATATGGGAGAGTGACGTGATAATGAAAATAAATTTACAAATTCTTTCATCTTCTGTAATAGTATAAGAAGGGAAGATTGGTATGATTTGCAGGAAAAAGGTAACTGAATTTGCTTTTCTAGCAAATAAACATTGGGTAATTGTATGTTTTGAGAGAGTTAAAATTTTTATGTTAAACAGAGTGATGTTCTTTATATGGATTGTTTTTGATGCACAATTTCTTTAAATAGGCCAATCCTATGAAATTCGGATGCTGGATAACCGGAAAGTGGGAGATATGCCTGAGATCACTGGAAAATTGGTAAAGGTAAGGTCGATCCATTTACATTCCTAATAGATATTGTAGTGATTAAAAATTTTGCCTAATTTCACTTTAAGAAATTACGGCTATCTTAAAGGTCCTAACTTTTTGAAGTAATATGAAAGCCCTTTGGAAAGGTACCGTAAGAAATTTACTTGCACCTATGTGGGCAAACACCTACCACCACTACAAAAACTTTAAGTTTCTCTTTAAAAGTAAAAGAGAATGCAAGGGAAAATGTTAAGTGTTAAAATGAAACTTTAAAAAGGTCCTTTTATTTTACCCCTTAAAATTTCTCTAAGTAAAATTTGAAATCTCTGTTCACCCTACTTATGTATCTGAATGACGAAGTGGGTCATTCTAGGCACAGGAGGTATAGCCGTTGGCCCCCCAACCCTTTGCTTTTAGGATATACCTTCAGAACTGTCCCCGCCCTTCCATTGTCATGCAAGGTGAGTCCTTTTAGCTTCTACCTGTCATGTACCATGGTTTATTATAAACTCCATGGCATTACAGGGCAAGGTTTATGGAAGAAGTTTAGTTAGGAAAAGGAAAAACTTCAGTGTGGCTAAGTGTTAGCAGAAGAGAAGCAGGCATGAGTTCTCTTGATCCTTCCATTGCTCCACAGAGAGGCATGTCGGGGCCCAGCTGCTGGGCCCTCAGTATGGAGAGACATCCCATTAGAAAGGCTTCCCCTGTGGATCTGCCTTTTTGGAGGGCAAGCCTGTGAAAGCAGCCTTGGTGGGGGAAGTGGATACTAATACTAATGCAGATGACTGTCTTTTTATTTTTATTTTTTAAATATATCTTTATTGATTTCAGAGAGAGGAAAGGAGAGGGAGAGAGAGAGATAGAAACATCAATGATGAGTCCTTGATCGAGCCCGCAACCCGGGCATGTGCCCTGACCGGGAATCGAACCCCGATCACCTGGATCCCAGGTCGATGCTCAACCGCTGAGCCACGCCCGGCCGGGCAATGACTGTCTTTTTAAAGACACTCAATTATTAACAATTATTTTAAATGAACAGTTTTACCATCATGCCTGGGTTTCTCTCTTTATGCCACCTTTTCATTTTAGTAATTCCTATGTCCATCCAGTGTTTTCTTCTTAGAAATGTAATTCTTGCTCATGAATTTTGTGGGCATGTGTCTTAATTCTGAACTGCAATATCAGATTCTTAAATAAAAAGTATACCTAATTAACCATTTTATTTGGGCTTTTTACATTTGAATTATAATTCTTTGCACCAAAAAAGTGTGCCCATAATCCAAGAATACAAGAGCAAACGTTAACTTATAAAATGTTTAAAGCAGAATTTGTTTCGTATGCTCTTCTATTATAGAAATGCGTAAGAAGTGAAAATACTTCTGCATTTAGCTGGAAAAGTTAAAAGTACTCACTTCCCCCCCCCTTATTCCATAGAGCATCATAAGAGTCGTATTCCATGATAGACGGCTACAGTATACAGAGCACCAGCAACTTGAAGGTTGGAAGTGGAATCGCCCAGGAGATCGACTTCTTGATTTAGGTACAAGTGACCATCAGAGGACCATGGAGAGAGATGTGAAGACATTTTAGCTCTACCCATGTTTTCACCCCATGTAATTGTGTAGAGAGAGTTTTGGCATGAGAGTGGATTCTGTATGCCTTGAGTTGTTTTATAGTTTAAAATGTTGACCCTTGAATAATGCTCGGGTTAGGGGCACCAACCCCCATGCAGTCAAAAATTTGCACTTGACTCCCCCAAAACTTAATTACTAATAGCTTGCTGTTGATCAGAAGCTTTACAGATACTATAAATAGTCAATTAGCACACATTTTGTATGTTATGTGTATTATATCCTGAATTCTTAAAGTAAGCTAGAGAGAAGAAAATCATAAGGAAGGGAAAAATACATTTACAGTATTTATTGAAAAAATCTGCATATAAGTGGACTCCCACAGTTCACACTCATGTTGTTCTAGGGCCAACTATAGTGTCTTGGTGCCAAAAGATCCTGAGCCAGGAATTTTATGAGTTTGAAACCATTTATTTAATTCTCAATTGGCACTTTTCATCATATTCTGATTAAAATGAAATCGAAACCGTGGTGGGAGAGAAAGTATGATACTCATTAGGTGGGCTTTGAGGTTGAAATGGTTTATCGTGGAGAACATTAAAGAAAATAGTGCAGCATCGAGGTGTAACATTTTCAGTGGAACACAGAGAAAGTTGTAAGCTTTTAAATTATTCTCAGTAGATGAGTTTCTATGTAACTTCTTTCTATAATGCAGATATTCCAATGTCTGTGGGAATAATTGACACAAGGACAAATCCAAGCCAGTTAAATGCAGTTGAATTTCTGTGGGACCCTGCAAAACGCACATCTGCTTTTATTCAGGTTTGGATTTTTTACTTTACTAGACGTATACTAGCCTAGTCACTTAGAAGGCCATGGATGAGGCTGAATTCTTGATGCATGATATCATTTTCCTTAAAAGCGTATTTGTAAACTATCCTCTAATGTCTTTTTAAAAATATATTACACACTTAAATTGGAGTGATCTACTATATCCATCATTATAGACTAACACATATAAAGGCAATCTGTATAAAAGCATTATTCAAATGTTACTTTGACCACTGGCAGTAGTAATAATGGTCAGAACTTCCATTTTTCATCAGATGCATTTCTCTTGAACCAAAGCTGCCATTTAAAAGGATGTGATTGAAAAAAAAACTGTACTGTTCTAAGATTCTTTGTTTAAAACACTCTAGTACCGAAATTTTCAAACATCCGAAAAAGTAAGAGAATAATGATGAATCCTGTGTGCTCATCACCTGGCTTCAACAGTTAGTAGCAGCTCCCCCTTTTTAAGTTATTGATGGGATACTTCAAAGCACTGTCCAGCGTGTCACATCACTCATAAATGCTCAGTTTGTATCCCTAAGAGATGAGTTTTAAAAATATATATGTAATATTATTGTATGTAAAATCAAATCCATGGTAATTCTAATACCCAGGATGTTGAAATTTGTAAGAAGTAGAATTAAAACCACTGAGTAGGCACACTTATGTAAAAAAGACATACTGCTTAATTGCTGACCTAAGTAGACTGTGGTTTTCATGAACAGTAAAGAATCTTTGGTATTTTGAATTTTTGCAAATATTATTTCCCATCAATAGTCACTAGGGACCATGGTTCATGTTTGTTGAATATTTTCTCATACTCTTTGTCTAACAGGACAACTAGTTATGTAGTAGTACGTGAAAAAAATGATGTAAGAGCCTTAAATTCAGGTTGTGCACAGTATACTGCAGAGAACAGTTTTAACTTTGAGAGTGAGATGGCAGAGCATCCAGAAGGACAAATCAGTGGATGGTACTTTGAATCCATCTCAAATTGCCCAGGTACACTGCATCAGCACAGAATTTACTCCACGGAAGCACGGAGGTGAAAAGGGAGTGCCTTTTAGGATCCAGGTTGACACCTTTAAGCAAAATGAAAATGGAGAATACACAGATCATCTACACTCAGCTAGCTGCCAAATCAAAGTTTTTAAGGTAAGAGATAGAAACCAGGTTTTTGGTACTTAAGGCCCAGTTTTGCTTGTAAAGTTATTTGTAACATGATGGATGAAATAATATTTGTTTTTTAGCCTAAAGGTGCAGACCGGAAGCAAAAAACTGATCGAGAAAAGATGGAGAAGAGAACTGCTCATGAAAAAGAAAAGTATCAGCCGTCCTATGATACCACAATCCTCACAGAGGTAATGCAGAGCAGCATTTTGGTGTCTGAAGAGAAGCAGAGGTTTGCATATTAGCACTATTTCTAAGAATGAGTTTTGCTATGAAGGGGTTGGGGAAGGTTGGGGGGTAGGTAGACTGACATACATTCTTTGTGAAGTTTGTGGGGGAAATATTTTATTTAAATTCTGGGATTCTAATGGATTAGTTTCTTGGGTGGGTTCTTGAATGAAGATGCTGAAATCCCAATCAGGTCTCAGAAACAGACCTTAAAAACCTTGAAGTTGGCAAGAGATTAAGTTGGGGCCTAGAAAGTTTGATTTTTGTCACTGCTGGGGTTTTGCATTTTCTTTAACTTTGAATCCTGCTAGTCATGCAATTGTTTAATTGGACTGCAGAGACATAAAACAGGGTATTAGATCTTTCTTTGTATAATGAAAAGACATTGATCCCAATCTTTGGTGTTTGTCCAGATGAGGCTTGAGCCTATAATTGAAGATGCAGTTGAACATGAGCAGAAAAAGTCCAGCAAGCGGACTTTGCCAGCAGACTACGGTGATTCTCTGGCAAAGCGAGGCAGTGTAAGGGACTTCTGCTTCTCTTTTCATTGTGCAAGAAACCTTGTGCAGTGTTAGATATAGGACCTACTTCCACTGAAACGTAAAGCCAAATTTGTTTTTGATGTCCTTGTCTTGATTTAATTTGCTTTTGTTTAGACTTCCTGCTTTCTGTTCCTCACTGAGGAAAACTTCCTAAATCTAACACTTTAAAACAAAGTTGACCTTATTGGGTGGTTTTGGAGGGAAAACGACACTCAGAAATGCGTCCCCTCCTCTCTCCTTCCCTTCCTCCCTCCCTCCCTCTCTCCTTGGCACATACACTTCCTTCAAGAGCACTGAAATTAATTGAAGATACATTCTTTAGTAAAATAGTTATCATTTTTGTGTAATCTAAAAAGGTTTTGCTTCCTCATGTGTATAACTGATAAGAAAATTTCGTGGATATTTAGAGAAATGATGGCAGCAAGCTTGACATTAACATATGCAATACTTTGTGTCACATTTCCCTGCATGTAGTATAAGAATGTGTGTCTGTCTGTGCTTTTAAAAGCCTGTTTGGCAGCACTGGTAGGAAAATGGCCTTGACCGCATCAGTGTTTCCTCTGGGCACTCCACTGTGACCTTGCACTTCAGACCAGAATAGTGCACCTTGCTATACTCAGACCCGGTTCCCCCCAACATACAGCCAGGGGATTTTTGGTTGAATATGAGCCTTGTCAGCTTAAGTATAGCAAATCCTTACTTTATGACACAACTCTTCATCTAACAGCCCAGATCAGCTATATATCCACAATAAATGTAAACAGAGCATTAAACTTTTTCTTAGTAACTGTCATCATCTGTATTAATGGCCACACTATTCATCATTGCATTGTTCATACTATCAAAGTACCAAAAATGGAATTTTCACTCTTAAACACTTGTCTGTAATTATGGGTAGACTATGAAGGTCACAAGCACTATCACTAGCACTTCATTTCCAAATTAAAATATTGAGTGAAAATACCGTAAATGCTTCTCTGTGATACAGCTGCAAACGTAGTCATGTGGAAGGATGGAGAGCACGTTTGTTGCACTTTCACTGGGCTCTTTGGATGCGCATCAGAGGCGGCACGGAGCGACTGCGCACCCTCCCCAGGCGCCTGCCCCTCCGGTTTTGTCTTTACCCTCTTCTGATCCCCAGCCAAAGACCCACGTATTTCTTACACTCCTGTGGGGAAGCCCAGTAACTCAGATCACTTCTCCCCTTTTGTTAGAAACAATTTAACTAATTAAAAAGAAATGGGTTCTCATAATTCATAAATTAAAGAAATCTATTCAAGCCCAGAGCTAATCTGAAGATGGTAGAATTATTAATAAATTGTTAATGACTCTTAGCTCAAGTCTAAAGTATGCAAAACGTCAGCAGTTCATTGGCCTGGGATTTCACATCTTCCTCGTGTGTGTTGCTTGCTGCCCCCGGCTGCATTTGGTTTGGTTAAGATATTTCTAGGGGGTGGTTAGAGCTCCTCTTGTAAACCAGTTTTTAAGAAGTAAGCTACAAATTAATCCCTTAAAAAAGAAACTCTGCAGCATTTCATTTATTTCTTCAAGTGCCTACAGAGAAAGGCTGACTTTTTTTTTTTTTTACAATTTTTGGATAGTTAAAGTTGGCTGTCAGGAGATACTGATATCCAGACTCATCTGCTAAAGTAATAGGTGCTGTATGTAATGGTCCCACAGCAACTAGAGGCACCATTGTTGGTTCCTAAGAGCTGCTGCACAACAAAACCCTTAGTGTATCTGTTTCTTGCCTCTGAGCTGTATTTTATTGGCTCAAACCAGGGCTGCCAATTTCTACAGTCTCAGATGGGTCATCATTTTCTAGTCTGCCTGAGGAGGGACTTTGTTCACAGTGCACCAGAAGCGTGACTAGAAGAGTACAGGCCAGGTAGCACTGGAGCCTTAGTGGATTACAGATTGCCTTCAGGAGCCCGGGCCCTGGACCATTGCTTACTTTTGAAGGATGACAAGGTAGAAGAAACTGTGAAATTATTCCTTGATAGCCTTTACCCTCCTGGGTTGAGACTTCTATAGAAACCTATGAAACACAGGCAGGCAGGTCTTGATGTTTTGTTCAGCCTGGCCATTTAAGAACTTGGGATCCATTATGTTCTAAATGTAGAGGCTTCCTCATAGAACCAGTTTTCATTGAACACAAGTTTTCCACTCTTCAGTGAATTGAGGCTCATGTTTATCGGGCAAGTTTTACTGCTAAAAGAGTCTAGATGGGTAAAAGTAAAGATAAGAATGTTTATGAAGTTTCAGTCAATTTGGGGTGTCTGTCACATTACTCAGCCGTACTAGCCATACTAACTGGAAGCTTTTGATGGCTTCATTTCCTCTATAGACAGCTGGCAATAATTACCAAAGCAAACTTTGGGGGGCTTGACATCAAAAGGTTTATATTATTTAGCTTTGTGTGTTATGCTACATTGTAGTATTTTAGTATCTGAGGAGGATGGTATAGCAGGAAGATCTTCTGGGTAGTAGAGATGACTGTGAACAGGGGACACCCATAAGTTATTTGATCTGCCAGTTGGCTCACACGCTATTGGGTTCCTCAAACTGTATAAGCTGAAGAGGTATCTACTTTGTAAGGTGGAAAGTAAAACAAGGGCCCTAGTTTAAAAGAATGAACATTGTTATGTAAAATTATAGTGAGATTGGTATACTGTGCAATATATTTAGCAATGCTGTCCATCCAGTACATTTCTTTTTTTGAAAGATGATAGGAGCAGAAACAGTAAGTGCAGTCATTTCCCCCATTTTTGAAGAGATATATGACAGGCAGTTGTAAATAATACTAAGATTTGGGATTTCTGTTTTATTTTTCTTGTATGCATGCTTCTGATGGGTATCAGACAGTTGCTTTAAGCTCCTGTAATTGGAGAGACTTCGTTTCTACCCTCAGGGTGCAGCAATTTTAGCTCCTTCACACTAGTGGTCTTAACATTTCCATACTCAGAAAAGTTTTAGGTTGACTTTTGAAAGTTTTCATCATACATTTAAATAGTTGCAAAGGAGACCATTTTCTGACATAGTGAATATTTGCATTTACAATTTAAGATTAAACTATTACATTGCTTTTTGAAGCATATTCTGTGGACACCAACCACCATAGCAATTTGACACCCACCATTGTTAATTTTAAAAGTTCATGGTCAAGCTCTTAAGTCTGAAACTTTATTCTTCCTTCTTGATCTCATGTTTTCTTCCACTCCCCTTAAATAATTTTACCGTAATATGACATACTATTATGCCTGAAATCTTTTAATTATCACCCTAATTACTTCTTTATGACAAATATGTAGATTGAAATTTAATTTTTAAAATTTCCTGTGACCATAGGCTCTTCAGTCAGTTGAAAAATTTAAACTTTATTATTATTGGTACCAATTTATCAAAACAAACCATACAAATTTTTCTTTTTTTTAATCCTCACTTGTGGATATTTTTGTTTTGTTTTTTCATTGAATCTAGAGAGAGAGAGGAAGGGGGAGAGAGAGAGAGACATTGATATGAGAGAGAAACATCTATCGGTTGTCTTCCACATGCGCCCCGACCGGGGATTGAACCTGTAATAACCTGGATGGGTATGTGCCCTGAACAGGAATCGAACCCACAACCCTTTGGTGCGTGGGACAACGCTCTAACCATTAAGCAAAACCAGCCAGGGCCATACAGATTTTGATGAATAATTTTTAAATATAAAAATAAAAATGTTACTGGAAATACATCTGAAATGAGACAGGGTAGAACATAACTAATTATAGATTTTTTTGTAGATAAGAGAAACTTTACTTAGATATTTGTTTTTCTTTTGGCAGTGTCTTTCAGGTCTTGGAATTCCTTTTGAGTTATCTGCCAAAAATCCCAGGGATTGATTTTGTGTGATCCTAGTAGATCATTTCAATACTGTGTGTCAGCTGACAGTAGATGCTCCACAATTCCTTTGAAAGGAAAGAATTGGAAACATACATACAGAAAAAATTTAAAAAAAATTTTTTGTTTGTTTTTGAGACGCAAAAGAAGTAATATTAACCCTCAGACTAATCCTTTTTTTTCCCTTTTTATTGAATTTATTGAGGTGACACTGGTTAACAGTTATACAGATTTCAGATGCACAGTTCTACAACATCATCTTTACACTGTATTGTGTGTTCACCACCCCAAGTCAAGTCTCCTTCCATTTATCCCCCCTCTATCTTCCACCAACTTCCCATTTTTAGAGTCATGTACTTTCTTAGTATCTACCCTAAATCCTTGAATGGGTTTTTTTTTTGCCATTGATTTGGGGAGAGGCTTGTACCCCATGGCCATGGTGAGATCTGAAGCCTTTTTTGTGAAAACAGAAGAGTGATTATGAAAGGGCACCTTTGAAACCAGGGCACTCTCAGGCAGGTTAGTTTTAGAATTAGTGGAGTGATTGGGTTCCCTCCATAGCTCAGGTTTGGAGACTTCAACTTGACACCACGCAGGCCTGCTCAGCATGCTTTTGATGTCAATGTGTCTTTGTAGCTTTGCTCTATCTTTGGCCAGAATTGTGCCTAGGGCTGAAAAATGTTTTAGTTCACCATGCCCCATCCAGAAAATATAAATAATAAACATATGCAGATAGGTAGAGGTAGGCAGTACCACACACACCAGGTGTATTTTGTACTGGACTGGTCTCGGCTTACTTGGAGATTATTAATCTTAGAGAAATCAAGGAAGCAAGTGGGTACTGGTGAGGGCAAAAGGAGCACTAGGTAGAACAGACATTGTCTCGCTCACCATGTGATGTCAGATGTTGCTTATGAATCCTCTCTTGCCTCTGCTATTAAACCTTGATAAGGCACCTTTTGGAGAATTGATAAAGAGGGAGGTAAAAAGTTCTTGAAAGCAGATTGTGTACAAGTAACATGTAAATTGCCTTCATGACCTTTTGCTGCTATCATCATTTCTGGTTTTCTCTAAAATTAATCACTGTCTAGATGCATATAGCAGGTAAAATGTTTCCTTGCCACATAAAGGGAAATTTGATGTTTCCATGTGGTTGCTTGATGAGTGTTAGGTGTCTTGTGCTTTATAATCTTACTCGGTCAGACTAGATTGTGAAATACAAAGTATTTCTTGTACATCCTCTAAAAGCATATTATTAATTTATTTTTATTTCTGTCCTCAGTGCTCTCCGTGGCCTGATGCCCCCACGGCCTATGTGAATAACAGCCCCTCTGCAGCGCCCACTTTCACCTCCCCACCGCAGAGCACCTGCAGCGTCCCGGACAGGTATCTGCTTTGTGTCATGCTTGAGGCTGGCTGATGCTCATGCTCCTTTGTTTCCCCTTCTCTCAATTTACAGCAGCCTCTCGCTTGTTTATCTGAAGTATGTGGTCATGGGAAATGGCCTCGATTTCAGGGGAAAACCATCGTTTCTTCACCTCCCAGCCTTTTCCTGGCCCCTTGTGCCTCACACATTCACGAATAGTAGGCATTGTAGAAAGAAGGACATTTTCAAGATGGAGTTCATAGGTAGAGAAAGAACAGCGAGGTTTTAAGGTGGAGCTATGGCTTGACTATGTTAAGGTTGCAATCACTATAAAGTACATTTGTCTTCATTGCTCATCATACCAAACAAGGGTTAGCTTTCTGCTCCATTTCTTCTCCCTCCTAGTACACTATTTTTTAAATAAGCCTTTAAACTTACAGGAAGGGCTTCCGGTTTCCAAGGACTTATGTGGTTTTAGAAATGGAAATGGTGGACTTTGTTTATTCTATTATTTGGCCTTGACGTGCAACTCAGAGTCTAGTGAGCTTCGGGTGGAAGCAGAAGCAGAGTCTCAGGTGTCCTTAAGTGCTGCAGTGGTGTCCTCAGGAGACTTGAATTCCCAGGGCTTGGCTAGTGCCAGTTAGATCAGGTCAGAACTTCCGTGTTCTTAGGAAGTTTAGTCCCCACCTCCTAATGCTGTCACACTGCGGGTAGGGTTTCAGCATATGATTCTGAGGGAGCACAAACATGCTTTTCCCCTGCGGAGATGGAAACACTGATGAGGCAGTTCGTTTTCCAGGTTATTGTGCTTCAAGAGTGAAAAGTCACTCTTGGGCTCAGAGACAGGAGAGGGCAGGAGACCGGCATGTTGCCGTGTGGCGGGCACTTCCCGTTTCAGTCAGGTCCAGCCTGAATAATCTTAGGTGATGATCATGATCTTAGAGATAAGCTGTGAAGTTAAGGACTCTCTAGTTGACTGGATGTTTCCTGAGAGCCACTGTGTGCCCAGCACTGTTATGGGTGCTGTGATATTTAAGTGACCGATAAATCCCTGAGGAGATAAGTCCTAGGAGGTGGAGGAAGATGGTGAACAACCAACATAATAAACCAAAGTAAAACCTCTGCAGAAATGCTAAGAAGGGGGCCGGGGCCAGGGAGGCGGCCGCATTCCCATGGAGTTGCTGGGGAGAGGTGCACGTTTGTTCCTTCTGTTCCCTCAATTCCGTCCTCTGACCATGGGTAAATGTATTAAGGGACATCACTTTCCACTTTGACTTAGGATTGTGATACTATCTCTTAGAGCTCATTGTTTCCTTAAAGTAGATTTTTTTCGGCAGCTATTTTCAGTTGTTTACCTTTGTTGATTTTTCACATTTTTTCCCACCTAAAGCGAATGAGTACCCTTCATTTTCCTGTTATCCTGGAGGTAACTGGAGCCCTTCTATTTCATAAAACTTGAATCTCTTACTAGAACAGATGGAGAAAGAGGCGGCACAAAATAAGACAGTTTTCTGTCTTAACCTCATCATCATAGTCACCCCGACCAGTTGTGCCAACGTTCTTATTGCAAATTTATATTGCTCTGTCACACAGTATTTTAAGTTTACCTAGTTTAATAGCCTTTAATGTCTTGATTTTATATATACTGTACATATAAATAACAACCATCTTTTCCTTCCCTCTCCCTTTCCCCAGCAATTCTTCTTCCCCAAATCATCAGGGAGATGGAGTTTCACAGACCTCTAGCGAAGTAAGTGTCTTGCTCCTGAACTGTCAGATGCTTTCAGGGTCCTGCAATTTTAAGGCTCTGACAGGGGCTTGAGTCATTGTTTCTTTGGGGTAACTGAGTAGTCACACCTATGCTCTTCTTGGGTGTTTTTTACATCAGACTTGGAGGATTTCTGTGTTTTAATGCCCTTTATAACATGCTAGTGACCTGGGTTATGTTTTTTGTAGGTTTGAATAGTTTCTTCTGTTTATGTTCATTTTCTTTGTTATTAGCAACTTCAGCCTTCAGCCACCACCCAGGAAACACAGCAGTGGCTGCTCAAAAACAGATTTTCTTCCTACACAAGACTGTTTTCCAACTTTTCAGGTATATGTGTGTGTACATGTAATGTTGTTTGTGTGTACGTGTATACACAGGAGACATGTGTATTTGCTTGTGTGGATAGTGTACATGTGTATGCACAGGAGACCTGTGGTGGTTTTGAAGGTCATTTAACTGTGTGAAGACAGATGTCATAAAGCAGCCAGCCCTGCTAGTTCTTTTTCCATTTCTTTGAGAAGAATCTCTTTATGCTGCTCTCCAGGTGCCGACTTATTAAAACTGACGAAGGAAGATTTAGTACAAATTTGTGGTGCAGCCGATGGAATTCGGCTCTATAACTCACTGAAGTCAAGGTAAAGTACTGTGTTTAAAAGGAACTGTCTTACGTACCTTTCCTTGTGTGGGGAATCGGGGCAGAATGGGTTTCCACACTGGCTTGGCGTGTGCCTGTGTGCACTGTCAAGCATCGGTAGCGTCGCGCTCACGAGAAGACTGTTTTGTGTACACCTTCAGGGCAGGCCCAGATATGATGCAGGCACTGATGAGGGCAGATAGACTGTAAGACTGGTAGAAATGCACATGGGCAGTACTGATTTCTTGAAGACGACTGGGTTTGTTGCCAAGAAAACAAACTTCTCATTTAGGTGAGCTCTACAGAATCTATGGTTTTCAAGGTCATATGACTACTACTAAACAGTTATTAAAAATGTAAACTTCTAATTGTGAATTAAAATGAAAGAACCGTAAACTGTGCTGGCTTTTAAGATTCATGTACTATCGTTGCTATTTCTAGACTTGTGTGAGAATTCCATTAAAATTGAATCTTACTGATTTTTAAATTGCTGACTTAATCTCGGAACTTAAATTTACCAGCATCTGAGACCATCTCAATGGTTTAGAGTCTGGATCATCAGATTAGACCACCTGTGATAGTTGGTTTGAGGTGTGTGTTTTTATATTTTTATTAGTAAATTACTTTGTATAATGAAATAACATTGTAAAGTCCTCATAAGGAAATAGAACTTAGATTTGTGTAGTTGTCATTTGTACGTGTGGTGAAGCAGCTTTCTGTCCTCTGCTCATGAGTGGCATCTTGTGATTGCAGGTCGGTTAGGCCCCGCTTAACCATCTATGTCTGCCAGGAGCAGCCGGGCAGTTCAGTGCTGCCGGGGCAGCAGCAGGCTGCAGGCAGTGGCACCGAGAATGGCAGTGGGACGCCTTACGGTGGGTATGGAGGGGTCTCAGTTTCCAGTCACTCCCTCTCTGACACTGAGGTACAAACGGGAGGATCTGACCAGGGCTTTGAAGGACTCCTGTCCCATTAGCACCATCGAGTTGCTGCCATAGGAGAGCTGGCAGCAGTGAGCTCTAGGGCCAAGTCCTCGGAGGGGAGGGAACAAGCAGCCTGTCTCAGTATGTCAGCCGCATGAGAGGTCTCTTTTTTATATGACCCTTTATGCCAGAAATAGATCTAACATATGAAAGACTAGGTTGAATGCTTCGGGGTTTGCTGCCTTTAAAAACAAACAAACAAAAAACCCTTAGGTGCAATGATGAGTATGACATTGGCATCTTGGCAAGAAAGGAGGAGGGTTTTTGTTTTTATCCATTTTACTGACTGGGGGAGAAAAGTTACAATATCACCTGTGTAAAGAGGCACCCATGTGTCAGTGCCGAGTGTGTGGACTTGCCTCAGACAAGTATCTGGCATCTGGTGCCATGTCCTGTGTCACTGTAAACATGCTCTACATCATTATCACTTGAGTACCGGAGGATCTCATTATCCTGCAGGTTTCCCTAATAGTGTAATAGTGTGGATTAGGGAGAGAAAAAATCCTGGCCCCTCCCCTCCTCTCAATATGATCCTTGGAGAAAATAAGCATATGTGTTCTCACTTGGAAAGTGGATATGTGGTAACTTCTCCGCTCTTCCACCTTCTGAAACAAAATAAGAGCAACACACTCAGAACCTTTCAGGGGAAAATGTGTTACAGAATTCAAAGAGGCAATTATTTGCCCTAATACTAGATAGAGCTCTGAAAAACACTTTGTGGTTTGAATTTTACTAAAAGTCCCAAGGAAAGCATCACTGTTGTGAGCTTTCCCATTTGGTGTCATTTTCACTTCAAAAGCTGTGAATTTTAAGATTAAAGATACAAAGTCTTGGTCTTAAAGGCTAAAATTCTAAAGGAGTTCTGCATGTATTGAGATACTCTGTACCATTTACATATGGTCAGGATTGTGGCATTTAGGAAGGTGTATCTTCAAATGTGAGTGTAGAGGTATGTGTGGAAATATAGGTGAACTTAACCCAAGGTCAGGGTCAGCAGAGTTTTTGTTACAGGCCAGGCGGGTAGTAAATATCTCGACTCTGCAGACGGTAGCATCTCTTTCCCACTCAGCTCTGCCATTGTAGTGTCAAACCCACAGACAGACAGTATGTAGAAGGCAGGTGTGACTGTTTTGATAACATTTCATTTTTGAAAGAACAAATGGAGAGCAGGGTTTGGCCCACATAGGCTGCAGTTTGGTGACCCTGTGCTGCATCATCTCTGTAGTCTTACCCTAATTATAGTTCCAAATTCCAAGCTTCTCATAGTGTATGATTGCAAAGGTTCCCCTTGTTGGGGAAAGCAAAGTTCTAGCACTGATATTCCTGATCAGTGTCCAGCTTGAATCACTAGTAATTGAGCCAGACCTACAAGACTCAGACCCACTGCAGACAGTGGCTGCAGCTAGGTTACAAGTTTCAGAAACACAGGACATTAGGTGGACTGCACTTGGGACTTTCTGTGAAGTAGCAGCAGGCTTCATTGCCCACTTCCTTAGCTCTTCGTGTGCTTTTATACTGTTTTTAATTTTGGTGGGCAGAGGGAAGATAGCTTTTATTCCTTAGGACAAACCCCCATTCATAGGCTTACTATATCAAAAACTATGATCTTCCTGGTTTTTTTTGTTTTTTTTAATAATTATATTGCTAGAAACACATGTTTTTGAAAAGAGCTACCTTTGGGTATAATTTATATACCAGAAAATCTTCCCATTGTAATTATATAATTCAGTGATACTTCAGTAAACATACAGTTTTGCAGCCATTACCACAATCCAGTTCAGTTTCATTACTCCAAAAAGATCCCCTGGGCGCAGTTGCAGTCAACCCGTTTGTTTTCAAGAAAAAGTAAAACCTCAGATCCTTTTGTACAAAAATTACTGTTAATGTTTATATTTTTAGTACTTTGAAAGATGTGATCTATAGATCCAGGTAGAAAACAGATAAAAGATTACTGCTAAAATGCTGTTCTTATCTTTTTTATTTCAGTATATCATGCAATCTACTTGGAAGAAATGGTTGCCTCAGAAGTTGCTCGAAAACTTGCGCTGGTGTTTAATATTCCTTTCCACCAAATTAACCAGGTTTACAGACAGGGTCCCACTGGTATCCACATTCTTGTTAGTGATCAGGTAACTCGAACTGACATGCCCCTTTGCTTTTCCCATTCACACTGGTATTTTTATGTATATCACTGAAGAACTCTAGAAAAATTCTGTGACCTCTTTTACAAGTACTCATGAAAATCACTTTCAGAGAGCTGGGGATCAAAATTTGTGATCAACCAAGAGTTTGAGGTGTCCTAGTGATCTCTAAGGAATACAAGTCAGAACTGCGGCTCCCTCTTCTCCCCTTTTAGTTCAGACACTTCCTGGGGGGAATGCAGGTTAGTGGGGCTTTGGCCCCTTTTTATGGAGAGGGCGTTTGGGTGTGTTTTCCTTTTGTCCACTATTTGATGATTAATTTTAAAAACAGTAAAATGAAGAGGAAAAGACTGTACTTTTAGAAGTACAGCCTTTTCCTCCAGTGTTCATTAACAAGCAAGTGATAGTAGCGAGCATTTACACAGTGACTTTTGTCACAGTTATTCACAGGATTCAGCAGGGATGCTCCCCAGTGGGTCAGAGGCTGGCTGACCAGATCCTCAGGGGCCATCATGAGCAGGCGCTGCTGCCATGCAGCAGGTGTAAGTTTTTACCACCTTAAACTGCATTCACCAGTTACCATTCTGGTGGGCAGCAACATACAGAGTGTGACATTTTCCTTTAACTATGAATTTTTATCTTTTTAAATCAGTTACAAAAGGACTGTTAGATCTTAACTACTTCTGCTTTCTCTTTCTAGATGGTTCAGAACTTTCAAGATGAGAGCTGTTTTTTATTCTCCACAGTAAAAGGTACTTTGCATGTGTGCCTGTGTCTTGAAATGCTGGGGGCATGAAAAATAGTGTGTGCCTGTAATCAGCACTCATCTTGTGCGTTTACATTTGAAATGCTGGCTTTACTACTTTTAAGAAAAGGGTTTGAAAAATGAATCTAGAGAATATTTCTAATGGTTGTAATAGAAATTAACTAGGCAACAAGGAAGAGCAGTGAGTCCTAGATGACTGGGGATGGGGGTGGGGAGGATCTCAGTTCATTCAGCCAACATTTTACTGAGCCCTTTTGTCAAGCACCATGCTTGTGGTGCTAGAAAAGTCTTGAATAAAAGAGTCCATGGAGCTCTTACTCTAGTGGGGAGAGCAAACCAGAATTGGCCAACAGATGCACATAATTACAAATATTTTAAGTCCCATGAAGGAATGGGAAAGTGTGGGGTGTTTGTGGATGAGGGGATTCTGGGTAGGGGGCCGTGAAGCTGTTGGACAAGGCCTGGGGTGGTCTTATGAATGATGAGACTTGAAGAGTGAGAAGGCGCTGACCACATGAGGAACATTCCAAAGCTGTGTGGAAGGAAAGACCCTGGCCTCTTGGGTTTAAAAGCCAGCCAGTAGCTACTACTATGCAGTGTGAGAGGGGTGAGCAGAGTAAGATGGAGACAAAGAGAGAGGCAGAGTCTGGTATGTGAGACCTGGTGATTTTATTTGAAATGCATTGGGAAGTCAATGAAGTTGCTTAAACAAGAGCGTAATGTGGTTAGATTTTTTTCTTTCACTCTTGCAGCTCTGTGGAGACAGGTAAGAAGGTGGTAAAACTGGAGGCAGGAAATGTCATCTTACACATTCATAGACAGGGTTCTGCTGGACTGCACATTTGAGGGAGAAGTGGTTGTGACTCTTGGAAAAGCAACTGAGCAGATGGTCACAGTAGAGAGATAGGTATGATAGGGAAAAATCATTCAGGCGTTCCACTTTAGATATGTAGAAATGTCAAGTTGGCATTTAATTATATCTGTCTTAGGCTGGCAGGAGAGGCCTGGGGTTGAGAAGTAGATTTGGAAACCTTCAGCCTATCAGTGGTGGCTCAAAGCTGTAGAAATCATTGAGGTCCTTTAAGGAGTGAAGTTGAAAGAGGAACCATACGTGGCTCAAGTGAGTTCCAGTTAAAGGGTTAGGTAAAGGGGAAGGGTTTTACTTTGGGTTTTGTTTGTTCTTTTAGTTCCTTTAAGTGTAAAGTTAGATTGTTTATTTGGGATTTGCCTTGAGATAGGCCTGTATAACTATGAACTTCCCTCTTAGAACTTCTTTTGCTGCATTCCATAAACTTCAAAAAGTTGTGGGGTTTTTGTTGTTTTAAGAGTTTTTGATTTGTTGTTTGATTTCCTCTTTGATCCATTGGTTGTATAGTAGAATGTTGTTTAGCCTTCACGTTTGTGTTTTTCCAGTTTTCTTCCTATAGTTGATTCTAGTTATGTGCCATTGTGGTTGGACAAGATGCTCGATATGACTTCATTCTTCTTGAATTTATTGAGGCTTGTCTTGTGGCCTAACGTGATCTGTCCTGGAGAATGTTCCATGTGCACTTGAAAAAAATGTGTATTTTGCAGCTTTTGGATGAAATGGTCTATAAATGTTTTTTAAGTCAGTCTCATCTAATGTGACATTCAAAGCCATTATTTCCTTAATTTTCCAACTGGACCATCTATCCACTGATGTGAGCAGAGTGTTAAAATCCCCTGCTGCTGCTGTGTCCCTGTGGATGGTCTCCTTTGTGGCCATTAACAGCTGCTTTATGTACTTAGGTGCTCCTTCCTGTGTCGGGCGTGTGGTCAGTCATGACATCCTCTTCTTGGGTTGATTTATTTAAAATTATGTGATGTCCGTCCTTTGTCTCCGCTTTTTTTTTTTTAATTTATTGATTTGAGAGAGAAACGCTGATGTGTTGTTCTATTTATGCATTCACTGGTTGCTTTTTTTTTTTTGAGTCACTTTTTTTTTTTAAATTATATCTTTATTGATTTCAGAGAGAGGAAAGGAGGGGGAGAGAAACATCAATGATGAGAGAGTCATTGATCGAGCCCGCAACCCAGGCATGTGCCCTGACTGGGAATTGAACCCTGATCTCCTGGATCCTAGGTGGATGCTCAACCACTGAGCCACGCCCGGCCGGGCTGGTTGCTTCTTGTATGTGCCCAGCCAGGGCCTACATTTTTTATTTTAAATTCTATTTTGACAGATTTAAGTACTGCTACTCCACTTTGTTTTCATTTCTGTTTGCATGGAGTATCTTTTTCCATCCCTTCGCTTTCAGTCTGTCTTTTCAATTGGAAGTGTCTTGTAAGTAGCATAGAGATGGGCCATGTTTCTCAGTCCATCCATCCGTCCTATGTCTCTTCATTGGTGCATTTATCTATTTACATTTAAAGTAATTATTAAGTATGTACTTATTGCCATTTTGTGAATTGTTTTTATAGTCGTCCTCTGTAAGAAAGGGTTTTTAAATGCAAAATTATATGAGAAAAGGTTTTTAAAAGTCTGATGGGTTAAAATCTAAACCTAGTCTTAGCACAAAAGCTGCACCTCAAAGAGCAACATATCATGTGTCACCCTTTCTTGAAAGTCACTCTTGAAGGGAGTTGCCCAAAACAGTGTTGAAACTGAAATTTGACTTTTTGCCTGGCATGTTGCTATGCCATCAAGTTACCCACAATGCTGAGTTTTAACTGCAAACTGGTTCACTTTATCTTTTACTTTCACAAACATCTTCGGCTTGGTACCCCTTTTGCTCAATTTTTTTGTCCTCAAAGCAATACAGTTTTTATTCTACACAACTATATTATCTAAAGAAGGAAATTCAGTGAATTAATTGTATGGTTGTGTTCTGTGACATCACAGGATACCCCCTCCAGGCTCAGTGCACTGTTTTTCAGACTTTTGTCCTCATGAAAGAGTTCATTTGTTCCTTAATGAGTACCAGTACTGCTTCTCCCATTTCCTGAGAAACACTAGGGCATCAGGCAAAAGTAGTGATATATTTCTTAAATGATTCAGATCTGCCTCTATGGAGTTCAAAAATTATTTCCAGAAAAGGTGGATATAAGCACTTGGTTGATTTGTGTGTTGTGTAGGGCTGACTGTCCCGCCCGGCATAGTGTTTTCACCGGCTCTGCCTCCAGCCCTTGCCCCCTTGCTGACAGCACTTTTGCTGCTTGTCTTGGTAGCCCTTCTCTGCACCGCCCCCCACCCCCCACCCCCTTGGACTGGCAAGTATTGTGGGCACAGCATGATGTTGGGAGTATGGACCAGACACCAAAAAGCAAAATGCCTAAAAAGTGAACTGTGTTCATGACTCTGCCTTCGGGAAGAGGAGCTGGAGTTAGGCAGCTTTTCCTGTAGCATTATTTAAAGCTGACCTCTGGACTGGGGGAGGAGGTTATAGATTTCTGGGAGTTTTCAGTGTAATAGTCTTGATTTTCCTAAGTCTCGCGAAAAAACTGTCACTTTTCTTTCCTTTTTCTGCAGTTGAAAATAGTGGTGGTATCCACATAATATTGAAGTGATGTCTTAACGTAGTCTGAACTATATTCAGTACCAAATAAAGTCACGCTTAAAAGTGTGTGAAGACTGAATCCAAGAAGTCTTGGCATTGGATTTTACTGTATGAAATGTTTCATATTGAAAACACAAGATGACCTTTCTAATGAGCTGTATGAGAGGCGAATCTCCTCACTGTCACTGCCATAGCCTAGCATCCTCGTGAGAGTGAGCACATCGGGACAGCATGCCTGCTCTGGGGCGGTACAGGCTGGGCTGCCTGCCTCTCTGGCAGAGGCCAGTAGATAGAGTTCCTCGAAGCAGACTTTGCTGTCTTTTTACACTGTATGCGGTTTGGAAATGAATGTAAAAACGAACTGTGGGCATTTACCTTTCTGTGCCAGTTTGGCCTTTATTGCCTGAACCTTCTGCTGACCTGGGGGACAGTGCTGTCGTGGAGCCAGCACGGAACCTGCTGCAGAGAGATGCGATGTGCTGACATAGTGCTCGGTGGTCAGGTAAGGGGCTTGGCACCTTCTCGGAAGAAATCATGTCTAAGGGTGTGCGTCTCACGTAATCATGCCAGACTGGGGAAGAGCCAAGCAGGAAGACGGGCTGGAAGCGAGCTGCATTATCAAGAGTACCTTGGTGAGAGGATCAGTGTAAATCCTAATAGGTACAAAGACTTTCGTGTTTTTGCTTTGTCACAGATTTATTGAAAAACTTTGCTTCTGCTTCCATTTTTAGCATTTTGTTTCTGGTTTTCATTTTTAAACCCCCATTGCCTTTTAAACTTATGTGGTTTTCTTTCTTTTCCCTCCATCCCTCTGTCTTCGACTGCCCCCCAACTCATCCTCACACTGTCCCCTTCTTAAACATTTTTAAAGCCCTACCCCAGACATTGGAAATAGGTGACCTAAGCGGGAGAAAAAGTATAGTTTCTGATGTGGTATTAAGGGGTCTTCATTATCAACAAGTTGAAATAATTCTTGGAACACTAGACATCATTAATCGAACACTAAATTGTACCATGAAAATTCCTTAACTTCTCAAATATGAGCTTTAGTATAATCATGAGTAAATGTTCTGGTGATTATTTAGAGGCTTTTTTATATATCACATAAGTTTCTTTTTCTATAAAAAGATTGCCTCTTTCACAAAACCAAATGCTTGTCTGCCAGTATACTTTTCAGAGGGAACCCAGTTTTTCCTCTGTCTCTTTCCTTCACCCAGAGCCTTTCCCAGCATTCCTCAGTGAGAGCTGTGGAGGCCTGTGGTGTAGCACACCCGGTTGGTTTTAAACTTCGGTTCCATTTTAATTACAGCATCTCTGTCCACTTACCAGGTGTCTTGGTTTTGGGTGTATTGTTCATCCTTATCTTTGTTCAGGCAGAAATAGGAACGAGTCCTTTTGAATTTAAAATCTCTCCCAGAAGATGAACTACTTCAGTGAGTAAAAGCTATGACTGTTTTATTCATAAAGGGGGTTGTCTGATACAAAGCAGCACTGTGTCTGTTCCCATCTTTGGTTTAAAAATATCTATCACTCTTCTAGACCCTAAAGCAGGAGAGCCTTCCTGTCGTTTCCCCTTTGCTTTTGTATGACCATGTTTTCTGTACCAATCAGTTGGGAAAGAAGAGAGCTTCTATTAACTGTTTTAGTTTTGCTTGTCTATTTAGCATTTCTTTTTGAGTCTCAAGATTTATGGAACAATAAATGTCATTTAATGCTGTGTGCTATTTTGAATTCCTCATAGGGTATTAGAAGTGGGATAAAAACATTTAAAAGCTCATCAAACTTGAAATTACACCAAGTGGTGTTGAGCATTAGTCTGTCCCAGTGAAACAAGTTAAATTATGGCACCAGCAAATTTGCTACTTTGTTTTTTTAATAGTAGGATGTATACATTTCAGTATAATAAATGTTTTCAGATTGTTTTGCAAATGTGTGTCTCATTTAAAAATCCCAGTTCCTGCCAGTGTCACAAGTCATAGAACTGAGAGGCTCCAGGTGTATGTTCTGAGGACAGGCCAGTCCGAATGTTATGTAAGAGGTGAGGCAGACCCAGGTTGTTGTTTTCTTTTCAGGTTGTTGTTTTCTCAAAGCTGCTGCAACTGAGGACATGTTATTCCAGTAACTTCCACACCTGAAGCAGAAGCAAATCTGATTTTCTTAATAGAGGTTCTCCTGTTTTATAAATGGGGTCATTGAGCAAAGAGTACAGTAGCTGTGATAGGTTGTGTCCTGGCTCAAAGGAGATAATGTATAGAAAGCCCTGGTCATTTACATAAAATAGAAACTGTAATTCATAATCACTGAAGCAGGTCAGTGTTACATGTTTTTTTTGTTTGTTTAAATAGCATCCTGCATCAGTTGTTTCTCCCCCACATGGTGGTGCAAATGTATATTTAAATTACTGCTGTGGTATACACACGATTTGTCGACCTCTGAATACCAGAGTGTATCCTAAAGCAATGAAATCATCTGGGCTTGAATGATTACCCTGGTATTCCCATTAGACTGAGTTGCGGGGCTGTATAGGTATATGCCCTCTTCCTGGAATGCAGCTGAGGTATATCGTATCCTAAATGCTTCTAAAACGTCCATTTCGTAAGAGTACTGCCGGTCATGGGGAAAGAACACCTTGTTTTTGCTGTTTCACTTCGGCTTCTCGTGAGCTCTGGACTCTTCAGTCCAGGGAGTGGTTGCTAGGAAGGGTGGTGATGGTTCCTGATCTTAATTAATAAAGACCACAAATGTGGACAGCACAGGCAGAAACCAGATCATCGTGTCAGATTCTTAGGTAACAGTAGGAAGGTTGAGTTTGGAAAGTGGTTTTGCTTGGATTTATCTGCCATAGATTATAGCAATAAAACCCTCTGACTTAAGCACTGCAATGGTTTATTCATTTTTATATTTTGAGTCTAAAAGGTGCCAACACTCTACTGATCTGTAAAACTTTTGAATAGTCTGGTGTAACTTGATTTCTAAGATTTTAAAATAAATGTGGAAAAACTCACACGCACTCTACATGCGTCCTTTCATATTTTTAATGATTATGTTATAGGTAACTTAAGCCTTATTCAGTCCTATTGCCGTAAGACCCCCCCCCAAATCTTGTGAGCTATATGGCATGACTAGCTTTTCTCCTGTAATAAAACTGTGTGCTGTAGTGTACGCCAGAGCTTATAGTTCCAACCAGGCAACATGAACTCTGAGCTGATTGTGTAGTTTTTGGTTTTGGTCCCCAAAAGTGTATACAACAAGTTGACAGAAACAGAGGTGAAGACCCTGCTCCACCTGGTGTAGAGTCCTCATTTCTTTGGTGTGTCACAGAAACTTCTTACCATGCCTTCCATATACATCTCTCTATATAAACTAGCAGGTGTTATGATTTGCAGTACAGTCACTTTGACAAAGTTGCTATTTAATCTTCAAAGTGGAAAAGCCCTGCTGATCAAAATGGAATAGTCATGAATTGAAGTAGGCCACTGTCCTCAGTATCAGAAAGTCAACAGCTTGTCTTCTGCTCGGTTTGTGCTAACACTGGTGGTCTGTTTGAGGAATGCTGACCAAGCCCAGGGCAGGACTTTGTACCTAGGGAGGTACACCCACCTCATTAAGAAATCGGTTTCTTGCAATGTCCTGGCTGTACTGAGACCACTCCCATCGTGTGTTTACAGACACGAGGCTTTGACTTGATTGTATCGCAGCAGACTAAAGGTCAGAACTATCACCAGTTACTGCAATCCCTACAGAAGTCTTTTACCTGTAAATACCTTTCCCAGTGGAGAACCGACAGATTTCGGTGACAGAGGAGCAGGTGGGGAAGACTGGTCTTCCTTGGAGTTGGGCCCACGCTGCTGTCAGAGAATGACACAACACCTGCACAGCCGATGTCCACTCCCTCCCACTGCTGTCGGCGGAGTGACAGGCGCAAAGTAGGCGTGCACTTTGACATGTGGGAGCTGAGCCTGGAAATAGAAGAGAAAGGGGAATAATCTTTGCACTGGTATTTTTGGGATTAGAGGCATAATCCAAGAAAAGCCTGAGGTTCTCCAGGTAGAAGCAGCTTCATTTTACTATTAGGCAGATAGTTGAAAAAGAATTTGTGGGGTAGGCTAGAGCTATTCCTGTTTACCTGACACATCCCCTAAAACAGCAGCTTCCAAAGACAAAGAAAAACTCGTAATACTCCTGCCCCTGGGTAGTCCCAACCCCGTATGCACAGTGAGGAGCTCTCACCAGCTGTAGCATCCTGGGCTGCTATGGGGTGTGAATGCAAAGTTAAAAACTTAAAGTGAATTCAAGAAAACAAGAAGATGAACTGTGTGTGGAAAGAAAGCCACTTTCCATTAAGCGCACTCACCTGGAAATTAGCCAAGACCACATTCTACCTCCTGCTGGTAATGACCTCAAGCCCCTTTCCGTATAAGGCGCTGATCACCAGACTACATGGAACCCGTCTGGAAGTGGAATCTTCCAGGCTGGGGTCTGATTAAGGAAGTTTTGAAGTCGGAGACACTTGTGTAACAGGTCAGTTTGCATAACTATGGGTTAGGACAGAATGTAGAACATGCATGTTGATTGTTGATGTATTGGTGCTTGCTTAGAAACTGCCAGGTGTGCTGACTCCTGCCCACACTTACCCGCATCCGCTTGATGCCTGCACGGGTGACCTGCTGGCAGTCGTACAGCTCCAGGCGCTCGAGGCCGCGGCAGTTCTCCAGGTGCTCCAGGGCCACGTCGGTGATGAGGAGGCAGTTGTCCAATTCCAGCACTCGCAGCCGCTCGTGGCCGCAGGTGCTGTTGCTCAGGTGCAAAATTCCATCATCTGTGATGAGCTCACAGTGGGACAGACTCTACAACAAGGAGAAAACAGAATTTTGCAAGACCCTCATTCCAATGCTTGTGGCCGAGGAAAAGCAGGGGAGCCGGCCTGCACAGTGTCCCAGAGCAGCCCTTTACCAACGGGATCGGACACAGCCTTCGCGCACTCTGGCCATGGGCTTGCTGCAGCTGGTCAGTGCTTTCTCTCCCCTTTGTGAATATAAAAGCAAATCAGAATTGCAGGGGATGATGGTCTGGTTCAAGGTGGCGTAAGAGGATCCTAAACTTACCTTCTTCCATCAACTGTCTATGGCTACATATGGAACAACTTCCTCCGAAAAAAAAACTAAAAACTGGCTGGGTGGCACCTACACATTGGGCAGGTGATAGGGGCTAGGACACAATCTTGCCATAAACGCCCCTCCCAGGGCAGTAACCCAGCTAGAGGGAACCAAAACCCAGAGCTGCTCCCTGAGGAGTGAAGGGTTAAAACCCCACATTTGGCCCCCGACTTAAGACCTATACCTGAGAGGCCCCCAAAAGAACTAGCTTTGAAAACCAACAGGCTCACGCCACAAGACGAGAGCAGTCTGAGAAGCAGTTCTCAAAGGACTCAACAGCCCAGGGCCCAGCATGGAGATGGCCAGTTGAGGGGCACCAGCCTGAGGGGTAGGCATCTGATTAGACACCCATTTGGGGGTCCTGTGGAGTGCTCTCCTGTGATGGAGACTTACGGGGACCATCTTTGTGCCCTCCTGCCTTTCTCTGCCCAGAGGATGCCATTTTTTTTAAACTTTGGGTTTTTTTCTTTTCCTGGTGGGCACCGATGTCTATGCGCCCCCTCTGCCTCTCTCCAGCTGGTGAGCCCATTTTTGCACTCCTGCCAAGCACCATTATTTCTCTACACGTCTGGCGTCCTGATCTTACTTCTGGTGCCCCAGTTACTGTGGCTGCCACCAGGGGACACCTACATCTCTTGGCTCTGGTGGCCAGTGAGGCTTACACTGGTGGGCCCCACAGGACTGTAACCAACAGAGAGTTCTTGACCACCTGCCATCTCAAGGGCACAGCAAGAGCCAGCAGACCCAGGAAGCTCAGTCTCTCTGTGAAAGAGGCCTATTAGCTTACCATAACTGCCGCCTGGCGGGCAGGATCCTAACTGAATTCCCATCTAAGGGCTGACTAATCCCTTCTAGAGACCTGGGAAGGCAGGGGCTATCTTTGCTCCCCCTCTGCCGTACCAAAAAACCATTAGGACTAACAAATTCAGGCAAGTTGCAAGATACAAAATCAATATACAAAAATCTGTTGTTTTCTAAACACTAATAAATTATCAGAAAGAGAAATTAAGAAAACAATTCCATTTACATCTGCGTGGAAAAGAATAAGACACATAGAAATAAATTTAACCAGGATGGGAAAGGCCTCTATGCTGAAAACTGTTAGGCATGGATGAGAGAAACTGAACACACAAATTCCGTGCTGGAAAACTAACACTGTTAAAATGTTCGTACTGCCCAAAGCAATCTACAGATTCAGTGCAATCCCTATCAAAATTGCAATGGCATTTTTCACAAATGCCAACCCTAAATTGCATGGAACCACAAAAAAACCTGGTTAAGTCAGAGCAATCTTAAGCAGCACAAAGCCGGAGGCATTATACTCCATGATTTCAAACTACATGGAAAGTTACAGAAATCAAAACAGTATGGTACTGGCATAAAAACAGACACACCTGATAGAATGGCTCTTCTGGAAAAGACAAGAAGTGTTGGTGAGGATGTGGGGAAAAAGGAACCCTTGTGCACTGGTGGGAATATAAATTGGTACAATTACTATTGAATACAGAAGGTTCGTAAAATTAAAATTAGAACTATTAGGTAATCCTGCAATAACACTGTTGAGTATTCCAAGAAAATGAAAACACTAATTCAGAAAGATAATGCACCCCCACGATCACTGCAGCCTTACAACAGGCAAGATGTGGAAACAACCTAAGTGTCCGCCATTGGATAAATGCGTAAAGAAAATGTGAGATGTACACACAGTGGAATATTCTAATTCCTTTTCCACATATATGTATATGTGGAGAAGGAATTATACCTGTATCTATGTGCAGATAAGAAATGCAAATATAACACAAGGATGGCCTCCATCTTTCACCTGAGATTGTATCACTTTAACATGCTGGTTCTCTCTCTACCTGGCATGATGAACAGGAAGCTGAGTGCAGTGGTAAGGACATGGGCCCCTAAATTAGGTTCATATCCTAAAGTGAAAGCATTAGAGACCCTGCCTCCCACATTAGCCCAGCTGATAGAGCTCTGAAACCAAGAATGATGACACCTTTACAGGAAGGAAACCCAGATTTCTGCGGTGGGAAGGTCCCCTCATCCCTAAGGGCCGAACAAGGTCACAACCACTCAGACTCACCAGGGCTTGCAGGTTAGGACAGTGAGTGGAGAGCTGGATGAGCGTGCTGTCGGTTATCTGGAGAGAGACGCGCTGTGTCAGTGTGGCTTCCACACCAGAACTTAACACCTAATCTGGCTTCTGAGCACGAGAATCAAGGTGCAAAAGAGGAAAGTTTAAGCACACTCGGGCAGGGAGCACCTCTGCATTGGCAACCTCAACTCTGCCCACTCTTGGACACGCAAAGCTGTTCTTCCATCTCTCCTGGAGCCCTAAGGGGGCCTAGGAACGGGACAAAGAGGGAGTGGGCAAGGAGGGTCCCCTGGGATTCTGTGTAGTCACCTCATCACTGAACATGCAAGTTTATTTCTCTCTGAAAATGGGGCGTGTTTGTTTTGTTTTTAATGTTTGGCAAAAGATGGAGCTATTCTGAACTCTCAGCTGTAGCTGGCTGATAACTGAGAACAGTCCAAAGTTTACACATGCCCTAGCCATGGCCTTCATGAGTTCCCAAGCCCTGACCCTACACTGGGGCAAGGAGGGTCCAAATAGTTGCCAGTTGGCATGCCTGGCTGTGCCTGGCTGGCTGGCAGGAACTGAGGGGGTCCACTCACCAGGCTGCATTCTTCAAGATCCATCTTCTCCAGGTCGTGGCAATTCTGGAAGAGCCCACAGACATCCCTCAGCATGCGCTCAGTAGTGAGGGCAGCCCTGGTGGCTGGCCCTGGCCCTCCAAGTACTGGCCCAGTATCCCTGTTCTCTCCCGTTAGGGAATGTGCCCCATTCCTAATGTGACCTGCCAGCCAGCATTTCTGAGCAGGTGCCCTCTGAAGCACTCACTTGGAAGTGGGAATAGGGCTGCCCTGGCTGCATGTCTCACATCTTGGAAAGGTAGCTGCTCAGCCTTCACGGATGCCAGCTGCAGAACAGGTCCTTGGAGGGCATGGGGGTGGGGCGCTGAGCCATAGTGTGGGCAGGTAAGGGCTGGGGTGGGAGGAAGAGTATATCAGCATCGGGCCAGAGGGCCCCCATGGTGGTCTGCATTTGCAGGGCAGCGTGGAAGGCGGAGCAGAGGCCGAGCCCCGCCCAGAGAGGGGAAGCTGCTGAGAGGCAGAGCTGGAGTCTGAACAGGGAAGGGCATCTCCTCC